AAAACGAAGTATACATTATATTATATATTGTTATATATATATGCATATAATATCATGATAAATTACCCAAAATAATTATTATTAAAATACATTAATATGCTTAAATTATGCACCGAGGTATCTCGAAAATGTGCCAGTGTGACGTAAACAGAGATTTACAATTTTAAATGTAAGTCCCCATGGGCATGTATTTTAATAGGCCTTATACCGAATTTCCATTAAAAAATACCTCGATGTTCCGGAAAAAATATCGTCACGGGAGTTCATGTCCATTATAGAAAAAATATAGATTACTATAGCTCTATTAACGGCGTTAATGATTTTATTATTTTAAATTTTTTCTATTTTGTTTTTCTACTAAGAAATCAACTGTGGCATCTTTTCTGAAAAACAACAAATTTTGTCCTTCTAATCTGTTGGTGATTAAGAATGTCAGCGTTTGATTTTCTGTGTAGTATTCCTTTAATAACCGGAAAACCTGGAGAAAACGTAGGAAAAACGAGAAAGTTTAGGGTTTTAACGGTACCATTATTTAGGATTTTGTTTTTTCGATTGTAATTTGGTTAGAAATGTCTACAGGATACTAACTAATATTAGCCTTTTTTAGACATGGTATAATGTTCAAAACATTCTGGAGTTTTTGAGTGATAAAATACCTCATGTTTACACGAATTTTTATAAAATTTAAAAAAAAAAAAAATCAATTGAAACGTTATTATTTTCGGCCGTTTAACAGGTTATCGAGATATTTGCGATGGAAAATAACTAATGATAATTGTGTGACATTATTATAATAATTATAATATTATATTATAACAATCGGATAGACATTATTTTGTGTATTATATAAAACCTGTTAACCCAATGCGTGTTTCGATAAATAATTCTTATATTGTATATTTAACTTAACAGACTGGTGAACTTGGCACTGAATTATATTTGGTTATCTCGCGTTAGGCACCTACTGTACGTATATCTTACTTTCACACCTCTGTTATTAACTCTGTGTACATATATGCCGCACTATATATTATAGAAACCCCCACAAGAGGATATCAGGCGAGCGTAGGTATATAAATCTATATTATTTTATATATTGTATTGTGTATGGAACTATAGAGATACGAAATCCGTTAGGAACGTCACTTAGTAAGTTTATCGGTTGTATATAGTGGACCAAGAGCCAAGCCAAAATAAAGTAATAAAGAGCCTAACAGACGATAACAAAATTTACACCTTTCGGTTTTAAACATAATATATAACTATTTTTATTATTTAACTCGTTCCGCAGGGTGGTCACGTACCCATACATTATTATATTATTATAGTCAAGCCGGTTGAAAACGATTCGTTTCTTTCATACATTTAGACCAATAAGCTGGAGTAAAATAAACACATTTTTTTAGTTAGAAAATAAAAATTGGGTGAGCGCCATTTTACTCTAATTTGTTGATGTAAAACGGTATATTCGTCCGTAAAAACAGCCGTAGCACTCCCTTTAAATGGATATTGGGCAGTAGATTAATGCAAAAATATTATCATTTACATGGTTGTAAAACGAAAAAATGGAAAAATTGTTGAAAACTGTTTTAAACCCACTTGACGAGGAATAATGCAATTTTATATCCACCGCCTTACATATAGAAGATTTAAAATTTGATAGTTATCCACAATACCAATCCATTGATTATTCTTCAACGTCACACAAAAAATAAATAAAGAGATTGGAATAAACGTAAAGTGTAAAGTAAAGTTAACGTATTTTTCCTGATAACTTTTCTTTCACACTTTACCAAACATAACTTCATCAGATTATCTTTATCTGACCTATAGTAAGGTCAATAAAAAATTTCAAAAATACACGTTTAAAATGTATGAAATTTAACGTGTTTAAAAATTAATTACGGTAAATATATAAAATCACGGACCTCACCTTATTTAGATGTTTATCATTATCATTGGTTTATTTTTTTAATTAAACATTACATTTAAAACACGTTCGTTTAATGAATTTTAAACGTGTGTTTCGAAATTCACTATTGGTATTACCCTTCCTAAGTAAAGTGCGAAGTACTGGTAAAGTGTTGAGAAAAAGTTTCCATAAAATACATTAACTTAGTAGTCTTTAGATTCTGAGTGGAGCGAAGAAGTTTATAGTTTTACAAAGATGTTTATTTTTTTTTATCTGTGCACAACTTTTCTACAAGTAAATTTGCTCCAACTTTTAATGATAGCAATGTTTCTAAAAGGAAATTTTACTAGCAAGGTACTTTAAAATGGTAATTTTTCGATTTTCCCTGGAGTTTTCTCATCAAATGCGAAAAACCGAAAAAAAAACGGTAGAAAAACGGAAAAATGTAAGAAATGGTATTAGTTATTAGTTAAAATATATTAATGTCTTGTATTTATCTGTACACTTAAGAAAAGTCATTTTTCTATTTTCTCATGATCTTTCACAGAAAATGTGAAAAACCAGGATAAAACGTGGGAAAACCCGGAAAACCTTAGGAAAACTGGGAAAATCGGTACAACATGAAAATAATATTATTAAAGAAAATATATAAAGTCTAATTATTTTACGATAATATGACATATATATTGTTGACAAAGCATCACTATCAACTAAATTCCACTCAGAATCCTAATTTCGTAAGCAATGGTATATCATTGCTTGCAGATAAACATTAAATTTTCGTTTGTATCTTACCTCCTGATTTATTGTTGCACACAGGTATATATTAAATTATCTATAACAGTGACTGCACCTGCCCTATTATCCTATGACGTCTTTTTTGTTTCTATTTTGTTTATTTTTTTTTATTGCATATTTTGCGGGGTGTTATCTGGACACTATAACAACAACACTGCACGATAATTAAACGCGGTTAAAACGAGAGGAACGCGTCAAGAGAGACGCAACAAAAATTCAGCGGAACCAAACAGTCACTAGAGAAAAATAGCCCTAGATAGTAGCAGAAGGTGGTAATATTCAGCGGTATGGTCTTAAACGGCCGAGGACGAAGAAGATGATCATAAATCTCTTTATATATTTCAAGAATCCGTTGGTATTACACCGAATGTCCGCCTACAGATGCAGTCGATTCAAATATTTTAATAATTTATTCGGTCCAATATATCATAATATTATTATAATAAATCGTTGTCCATATAATATAGGTATTCGAAACATCGACACGAGATTTCCGCAATACCTTTATAAACCACGATAAACTTTTCACGAATTTAGTTTCAGAAACTTTAAAACAAACACCGTGTTAGGTTATTCGCGAGCATCTTTAAATTATACTTGTTTCTTATACATATAAAATATAATCGTATTTTAAAATACTTTTTTCAAAATCGTTATTAAACTTTTTCCCCCGTTGTTTGTTTAAATGTAAAAACACAGACAACTATATAGTATATACGTATATTGCATATGTATTTTATTATATATACACGTACTTTTCTGTTATTTTTTTTTTTAAAACTCAATTTTCAACAATTTTTCCTTTCCGACTTTTTTTTTTATAAAAAATATATTATTCATGAGGAGAATTCGTAGTTTTTACAAAATTCCAAAAATAATAAAAGTCGAAGCTGTATAATTTATAATATAACATTAATATAATATTATTCATAAAAGTATATCATAATATTATACTATGTTATTGTTAGTATAACCGAGTAAGAAAATTTGGAGAAATTTGAAAAGTTAAAAATGTTTCATGGTAAACCTACTGAATATGCGAATAATAATGAATTAAATTTTTTTTTTTTTTTAAATTTCTATTTTAAAAACGAATGAATCCTGCATGTTAATGGTCACAAGGCTGTTAATGTCACTCGACAAAGTTGATAGTGTATGCTTTACAGTAGACGTTGAATCGAAATTATTATTATTATACTACGTTATTCAGAGCCGTCTCGGATGAAAATATTTGTATTCAACGAGTGTGTTTGCGTTCACGTGCATAATAATAATTCTACTCTGTAAATTGTCATCGTTTTGTACTAAAACGAAAAAAAGAGCTGATAGGGTGCTAATGGGTGGCTTATGGTTTTATAATACAATGTAATTGAATTTATTTGCGTTAAATAATAAATGATTATTGACAAAAAACAATACTGAACGAATATAGGTTGAATATGTTTTGAAATAACATTTATATAAAATAATTCAGGGGTATAGTAAGATGGAGGAATTCACTTTATAGTTGGCAATACTATTTCTTGTGGCAGGAGATTTGAATACTCCCGTGGTTCCTCTAGAGAAAGAATTATTAAAGAAAATATGTCATGCATATGTTATTATTCTAATATAATATGAAATATTATATATTGCTGACAACCAACATTATCAACCTAACTCCGCTAGTAGTTCGTACTTACTAAATAGTACATTCTAATACTAATTTTTTCATTGCCAAGGTTAATCGTTGCGTAAGGATATACATTAAATTTCCTCTCTATACTACTTTTCCAACATCTCACATAAAACAGTGGTCCACATATATACAAAGTATATCTGTCTCATTAGTTCATCTACCCTAAGTACATAATATGACAAAAATATGCGGGTGACAAAAACACGCCGTTTGGTAACTTCACGTCAGTAGTCCGTAAAATATGGTAACTAAACAAAATACGTCAGTGACATAGCAGCCGATACGAAACATATATTATGGCCTACTGGTTTATAAAGAAATCACCGCACAGCGCACTGTGGTCAGCTGCAAGTTTTCTTGACACGTACCGTTTGAATAATGTATTCTTGTGCAAACGACAAATTGTTAATTATGTTGTTTTTACTATTTTTACTAACGTCGTCCAGTAAATAAATGAATATTGTTTTCACCAGGCGACAAAATTTAAACAAACAATACATTATTTCTATAAATTATTCTTATTATTTTTTTTAAAAATACAATTTTAAATTTTCTGAAAAACTATTATTCACTTTTTCACAAACGTACACTCAATTAACATAATACATTAATATGAACACCGAAAATAAGTCATACAAAGATGGAAACAGTAAGAACAATAATGATTGTCAACGGTCAGTATGCAAGTCGAAAAATAACCCAGAATTTTGCGAATATCTTAAATCTCAACCTACTCCAGAATGGATAAAATTGATAAAACCAAACGTTAAGACAACTGAAGACTCACCAAAAACGGCTTGCATGTGCGCAAAAACAGTCCCTAAAAACGCTTCGAAATGTAAGAACCTCCAGAATCCCGAAGTCAATAACGTATTGAAATGTAACAACATAACACCTAAAATCATCAATAATGAGAATAACAATAGTTCTCATCGTTCGGAATGCAAATCAAAAGATAACCCAGAAATTTGTTATTATCTCAAATCTCAACCAACCCCAGAATGGATAAAATCGATAAAACAAAACGTTAAAACAAAAACAGACAGCTCATCAAAAACCGTCAAATGCCCTAACGAAATCAAATCGACCAGTCAGCAAGCAAAACCTGTTATCAATAACGTACAAAATTGTAAAAGCTTCCAGAAATCGACCACCGAGAGTTCATCGGCTGTAAATAAAGATGTCACTGGGAAAAGCAGTTGTCCTTGCAAGGGTTTGGGAAAATTCCACGATTCGCGGTATAAGAAAAATGATACTAAACCGTCTGATCGTAGTGCTGGTTGGGGTTTGGCAGATTGGAATCTCGGCAATAAAAAAAAAGAAGAAATGCCGAAAGGCCAAATAACTGCGTTAACTAGTTGTAAAAAAGACCAAACGCCCACTACCGATAACGTTTCTAAATGTAAAAACATCCAGAAACCTGTTAAATGCCCGTCGACTACCTGCATGAACGAAAATCGAAAAAATGAGTTGTCCAAAGTTGTCCAAAAACCTGAACAACTTTCGACTTGTAAAAACGTCCAGAAACCGGCTATTGGTTGTCCGTCGGCAGCATGTAAAGAAAATGCTAGAAGTAATTGTCCTAACAAGAATCCCGGGATATCTCACAATACAGACCCATCTCACAATAAACTACAGAAACAAGTCGCCGATTCTTCTTGCGGGTGCACTTGTCATTCCGGTTCTAAAGTCTAAAAAAACAGGTTATAATCTGTAGGTATAACCGTATAACCTATGTAGGTTATATTTACCTATAGGTACCTCTTTCACAAAATGTAAGTACCTATCAAATTTACCTAATACTTATCTGTGCACAGTAGTCAACATAATGTAAGAGGCGCATTACTTCGAAAACTGTTAACTCATTTCAGAATTTGTTTTTAGAAAATTTAAGAAATAAATATTTATCATTAAAATGTTACATTTTTGTTATTTTTTGCCCATATTTAAAGTGTATATCACTGTCTATTTTTGATTTTCAAACGAAGACTTATACTAAAAATTACATGGATAGACAGATAATTAGTTGAAATATATTTAACTATTTACATTTTTGATTCCCCTCAATAAATTGTTGAAATCTTTCATTTTTAAATAAAGTTAGGACGATAATTATAAACCAATATTAAAACACCGTCTGCCTCACAAATGATATATTATACAACACTTTTCTCGATGAAACTCAAGAATTGTATATTTTGCCAACAGGATGACGGAAATTAAAAATAACAAAACTAAAATTGATTTAAACTAACAGGTACTTCATTTATTTATACAATTTCTGATAAATATTGCCATTTTAAAATCACAAGTAAATAGTAATTTCACCTCCTAAAATATAGGTGAAATTTTTTTCCTAATTATTATTTAGAAAAACGAATTCTAAAAATATGTTAATACTGTCCACGATTATAAATGTCTTACGTTATTTTCATCATCCTTTACACAAGGGTCTTAGCTCATTACTACTGTAATTTGTTTTTTGTCATTCATTTTGTGGCCCCCATTGCTTTGTTTTAAAATTTTCCTAAAAAAATAACTGTAAGATATAAATAAACTGTAGAAATAAAGTTCAAGCCGTATCCCCGGATATTTGAATTTGAAGTATATCGGATAAATGGTGTTCAAATAATTCAGTTTTATTGGATTCTAATATAACTTAACTTCCGCCACGATTTTTGCGGTTTTAGATTAACTTATTATTTGAATAGCTCTCCATAGACTTCCATATTCCGTAGTATTTTGGAGTGAAATTTTAATTAAGATTAATTCAAAAGACTTGGCTTTGTATTTGGCTATAATTTTTTTTAAGATGGTTTAAGCAAATTTGTTATAGTAATGGTTGTGTGCAGGGATTTATGTGCATTAATATGAATCCCTTGCTCTACGGTTTTTTGCTATAATTTCATGAATGTGAACAAGACAGGGGGATATTTTAAGGGAATTATAATTATGGAAGTGGAAACCCATGCTCTGGTTTGTTTAATATTAATTCGATTATTTACAGAACAATCCAGGTCGTCATTGGATTTCAATATAATTTTTTATCTACAAGGTCGTGAAATTCATATTTATTAGTGTTGGAGTAAAGTAACTTAGGAGGTACTTAAAAGCTTTGAAATATTATCACTTGATTACTGGTTAATAATTTTGTTTTTTTTTTGTTTTTAGATTGAGAAATGTATTTTAATAAATGAAACGACGAACAAACCAGTTATGTATTTTGGTAATTATGATTTAATGACAATAAACTTAATGACACTCATACTGGTCATGCATTTAATTAAATTCAACGAAATAATGAAATATTAGAGATAGAATAAAATAGTAAATAAGTAAAACAAATAAACATTCACCAAAATGCACTTAAATTTTTGTCTTACCCATTGTTAGAAGTAAGTCAGTCTTTTTTTATGTTTTTTTTTCTTTTTTGTTGATTTCCAGCTGCCTTGGATTTGCGGACAATTTAATTTGAGAAATAAAATGTTCATGTCAGTTGGTTTTATTTTGTAATTCAGTTGTCATGGTCTTCACTTAACATAGACTTTTATTATTATATATTTATAAAATAGAATACCCTTTTTTTTTTTTGGTCTATGGTAATCCTCTAAACTAAACTAATTACAAATTTGGTATTTTCTAGATAATTTTTATCAATGGAAAAAAAAAATGTTTTTGAAGTAGTTAAAATTACGTAGTTAATAAAATCGTATTATAGTAGTCATCACGATCTTCGGAACATACGTCTAAAGCAAAATTTGGTAAACATAATAACATGAACAATTTCAATCTCGAAAATAATTACTTTCACCTAAAAACGCGCCTAACATCTAAATAATATACGGTTGGTTTTTGAAAACAGGGTAAATTTCCTTATAAGAACATTCATGTTTTGAATGTATTATTTTTTTGTTGCAAGGTTTTAAAAATAAAGTTTTGATAACAAAAAAAATAAATAAAAATTGATTAGTTAACTTCTAAAATATGTTCAAAACAATAATAAATACTATTATTAAAATAATTTTAAATAATCTAAGAAATTTCTAAAGTATATCATAAACATTTAAAAATATGTTCGTAGTAATAATATTAATTAAACATATGTTATAAAATAATCTTATTAAAACTATTATCGTTAAACATTATTTTTTAATAATATTACAATTATATTATCTTCACAATATTAGGGGTCACACTGGGTGTTGCCCTTATATCAATTTACTTCGTAGTTGCCTCGTGATAAATTCATATTTCAATGATAATTTCATAATTTCTTTTAAAAAATAGCTACCTCATCCCAGTACAAGGCCGTAATTAATAACTGGTATTATTTTAATGAAGGGCAATTACACTCTCCTCTCTGGAACCATACCTGGGTATAATATAATTCTTTTTGTGATGGTTATTCTCTCCTTTATTAGGTGGTAACCATAACACATTTTGAGTTGGAGGTCCAAATTGGTTATGACAATTAATTTGATAACTTTTTTCTACTTTGTAAAGAAAAAAAAACACGAGGATAGCGGAATATCGTGTTTACGATATTACTTCAACAGTCAATAGGTTCCCATTCCATTTATAGTTATGGGGAAATGATAGCTACAATGATAGCACTTTTTTAAAAGGAAATCTAACTGAAATGGTACTTTAAAAAGGTCATTTGATTTTCTCAGGAGTTTTCCATATAAATCAGAAAACTGAGAAAAATTATAGGAAAAATACAGAAAAACAGGAAAATAAGTGAAACACTAAACAAATATTATTAAAGAAAAATGTATGTAATTATTTTGAAGCACATGTGTTGCGTCCCGTAAATAAGGTACAAACGACTTTCTTCTTAAAAAAATCCAGGACGCAATTCGTGTATTTTAATCAGGGATTCTTAAACTAAAATAAATAAACACAAATTATAAATATAATCACGAATCAATCAAAAATTGGTCAATCAAATGTAATAAAATAATAAATAAATGTTATATCACTTAAATCTAACCAATATCAATATATTCCGTAATATCATGAAATAAAAAAATAAATAAGAACAATAATGATATAAATCAAAATGCTAGTAAAAATAACAATAGTAATAATAATGATATGAACTTGTTTATTGTTACTTATCAACCGGGTGTCTGTAATAAAATCCATCAATCATCATAATTTATAATATTAGGCACGTAATATAATGGATCTAAACATAATATTAGGCGCCTTTATAATTAATGCATCACGGAGAATCCCTGAAAACGGAATAAAAACTACTACCTAACCAATATTGTGGGACGCAATTCATGCGTACCTTTTTTACGGGACGCAACTAAGGTGCAACGAATTATTTTACCATAATATGGCATTGTATATTGTTAATAAAGTAACACTATTAACCGATCTCCGCTCCGAATCGTTTTTCATCAGCTATAGTTTATCGTTGCACACAGATAGACATATAATTTCCCCGAAGTGTCTTTTTTTTTTTTTGTTAATATATTGTACGGATCGTAGATCGATGTATTTGTGTATACTATTAGATATCATTATTACTACCCCGATTACTCCCCGATTAAAATCATTTGGTGGACATTAAATTTTGGTCGTTTTAACAGTTAATGAATTATAGATCACATGGTTTGTTTTTTTTGGACTATCGACTAAAAAATGTTCTTTTCGAAAACCGTGGATTGTATTAAAATTTAAACCGCGAGAATAATAGGTATTGGTAACCGGTTTCCGATTTCCAACTGTCGTCCATTGAGGTTCAATAGTGACCGCTGGCGACGGGCAGTCGCCAAACGATTTCTTTGTAAATGTCTGGCGACGGGCAGTCGCCAAACGATTTCTTTGAAAATGTGGTTTCTTTTATATTCACCCCGCCGAATAGTCCGGGTTGTTATCGAATTATTTTTTGAATACAATAATACTATATTACAGTGGTTCCCACACTGTGCGGCGCGCCACCGAAAGGTGTCACGAGCACATTACAAGGGAGGCGCGGCGCGCGGTTGGAATTTTGTACATATAGTAATTTTTAGATAAATTATGCGTCCGATAACAATTTTATAGAAACGAATCTTATCTTATCCATCCGATTCTTCAATACGAATGCAATTTTCTTCATATTCACTTTTAGGATTTTGGAACAGTATTAAATATGAATATCATGAAGCAACAAAGTTTTATGTATATTAATACCATTCGCCACATCGTATTTGTGTGAAGTAGGATTTTCAGCAGTAGCCGTATTAAAATCAAAATATTGGTCCTGACTCAATGTGGAAAAAGAAATGCGTGTTGCAGTAACCACGTTAATTTCTAATTTTGAAACACAAGCGCATTGTTCGTATTAATTATTTTGTATAAAATAAAATAATAAGTTTACTGTTAACTAATAATAAATATTAAATAATTGTTAACCTATTTTATTAAATATTCTTTGCGGGAGGCGTGAACATTTTTTTTTATTAAGACACATTGAATAAAAAAAATTTGGGAACCGCCGCTATATTATATAGATGCCGTCCAACACCAGAATATCTACATTCAACGTTATCAAGAACATTTTAGATAACGATTAAATAGAAATAACAGTATAATTATACAATAGTTATAACTGTGTATTGAATTTTGGTCGATATCGATTTTAGGAGAACAACATCGATAAATATCAATAAATCGTGTGCAAATATCGATATTTTCGA